GGGCAAAGGTAGAGGGGGAGAGGGAACGGAGGTTACGGCGGACGGGTGCAGAATTAGAAGAGATTAGTTTGTTATGTTTGGAAAGGGGTAGAGAGAATGAAATGAAGAAGTGATCCGAGGTGTGGAGCGGGTTTACAGAGAGGTTAGAAATAGTGCAGCTGAGACTGCCAAGGCACACANGGTGCAGAATTAGAAGAGATTAGTTTGTTATGTTTGGAAAGGGGTAGAGAGAATGAAATGAAGAAGTGATCCGAGGTGTGGAGCGGGTTTACAAAGAGGTTAGAAGTAGTGCAGTTCCTTGAGAATATGAGATCAAGGACATTGCCAGCTTTATGAGTTGGTGGTGATGGAGACAGTGAGAAAGCAAAGGCAGTTAACAGCGATGTTAGTTCAGATATCTTCCCTGTCTGGAGGTTGAAGTCTCCGAGAAGTACAGCGGGAGGGCCAGTTTCAGGGATGTGTGAGAGGAGATTATCTAATTCCTCCAAGAAGGTAGAGAACAACAATGGTTAATTGTATAGGATGGGTTACTGTGACGGCATGGAATTCAAAGGTGGAAGGAGTGAAGTTAGGTAGCTTGAAGAGGGAAAAGCTCCATTTGGGAGAGAGCAGGAGACCAGTGCCACCTCCTCTGCCAGTGGGTCTGGGTGTGTGGGTGAAGGAATATGCTTTGGAGAGAGCTGCTGGGGTGGATGTGTTGGATGAAGTAATCCAGGTCTCAGTGAGAGCAAGGAAATCCAGAGACTGCAGGGAAGCGTAGCCAGAGATGAAGTCAGCCTTAGGAACAGCTGACTGGCAGTTCCACAGGCCTCCTGAAACTAGATGTTGGATCTCAGTGGAGCATGTGGGCGGTTATAACGATTAGGAGATGCACGGGCCAGTAATAATTGCGAGAGGACACATGAACAGGATTGGAGAATATACACATGATTATAGCATGAGGGGCTACAAAACACCAGCGATACTTAGCTCAATCAAAGTAGGATTTGCCTCCTCTTTGCCTCCCTCGTGACTCCCGCAGGACTCTATTGTCTTTGTCAGTCTTACTCCTGCAGGACTCTATTGTCTTCGTCAGTCTGATGCTCCAGGAAATTGCTGCCTAAAATGGACACTATTCCTGATTGCTGAGTTGTCACAGCTGTGGGCCTACGCCCCTTTAATTAGTTAACTTTCTGCAGCTGATGGGCACCAGCTGAAACTGTCTCACTTCACACAATCAGCATAGCCTAGAGGTCTATTGAAATGCACTTTTTACAGACAAATGTCAGACTAAACTCTTGTTACAAGGGTTTTAAATTAACCCTACTAAAATTATCCCTAGTAAAGCACTTAGTATTTGTACAATTGTTTAATCAAAGTGACAGGCAAATGTTTCAGTTTTTAAGATTTCTGAAAAAACAAGTTTACCGAGATTTCTGCCTGGAAAAACAGGTATTTTAGCTGTTCTGAGATTTCAAAACACAATTTTAGCCAGAATAACTACAGAACAGTTATACAGAGTAGAATGAATGAAACAGAGAGGTCTAGAAACAGAAATAGAACTTACACAGGTTTCTGAATCAGCAGTGAGACCTATCTGGTCGAGATTACACACATTTTATTGTTTCAGCACCCAAAGTGTCACAATTGCACACGTTGGAAATGGAAAATGTTTTTGCATTAACCTGAAGTTTTACAATTCAATCTCATTAAGAAACAGAGACAAGAAGGGGGAAAAAAGAAAACAGAGGGAAAGAACAAAAAAGCTGTTGTTCCTTTAATTTCTTGCATCAGTCAGACACAAACTACACCCTCACAGCTAGCTTTAGCAAATGTTGCTAGCCAACTGTAAATATTTAGTTCATAAGCAATACATGGAAATCAAGGATTAGAATCAAATCCTCTTCTAAGATGCTATGATATTTAGTCTTTACATTCATCTATCCAAGTAGCAAAAGCCGTGGGCGGCCAATATACATACAGCCCCCAGGCAGCAGTGTGGGGGATCAGCTCAAGGGCCCCTCTGCAGTGACCAGGAGGTAAAAGGGCAACTCTAAAGGTATCGTTCCACACTCCGCACTTGATCTGTTGTCTACAGAATGAGCTAAAGCAGCCCAAATCTTAGCTATTATCATTTTAAAAGAGAGTGTTTCTGCTAGCTTGCCTAGCTTGTATGCTATTACCAATAGCCTATGGCAGTGGTTCTCAACCTGTGGTACGCGTACCACTGGTGGTACGCCAGCTCCCGCTAGTGGTACGTGGAGGAATCTGACATATATAAAAAAATAAAAATATATTTATTTATTTTTTATTCAAAGGTGGGGTAGGTAATTTTGGAGAAACCAGCTCGAGTGAGCTAGAATTTGAAAATACACAACCGGAAAAAATATGCCACTTCCTTACAGAGCCTTCCACAGATGACATTTTTTTAAGGATTATTTGTCAAAGCACTTCAGATATTCATTGCTATCGGGATCTTAAGAGCATTCCATGGAATATAACAAAAAGTAGTATCTCGAGCCGGTTTCTCAAACAAGTGACTCAGGAAGAAGGCATTTACTCAAATAATGGAGAGAAGGCTGTGACCGAGGTCAAACGCTGAAAAAGCACACACTTGTCCTTAATTGTTGTCTTTTTTCTTATCTCTTTTCTTTTTTACTTTGCCACCACAGAAATGGCAATAGCAGACTGAAGATGAGCTATTAGCCCTTAGGCTCATCTGCTCCTGGAGGCTTCATTATTATTGTGGAACTGAATTCCCAATAGGACATTTTCTGTTACGATGTAGGTTGTTGCAGGAGGCCTACATTCAAACTTTGGTATAGGTCCAGGAAATGACATGTGTGTACAGTTGACATTTGTTGTGTGAGAATAAGTTATTATTTTGTTCTTTATATTCTCACTTGTGGTGAGTGTGAGAGAGAGTGAGAGAGAGAAAAAAATATATACATTTGCCTCCGAGTCCTGCATGGACTGTATTTTAACATTGGTCATATGGTGGTACTTGGAGAGCCAACTATTTTCTCAGGTGGTACTTGGTGTAAAAAGGTTGAGAACCACTGGCCTATGGTAACTAATGGTTGCAACCTTCAAGTAGATTGTCCTGGTTTGCTAGTGACTCTTTATTTCCTGCTATTTGTCATCACCCTGTAAATGTCACTGATCAACAACAAACTGCTGCTTCAAAAGTGGACAACAGGATGAATAAGCGAACAAGAGATTAGGGTGGGTTGTTGCATTTCACTAAGGTAATGAAAGAAACCACTTTGTAACACTATACGTTTTTGTAACCATGACATAGTGTTATTTATTGAAATGTGTCATGTTTTTTTTCACTAATGTTCGCTTGCACTGTACTAAATGTCAAGGCCAAATGATCAGATAGAAATAAATGACTGCTGGGGAATCGGTCGGCTTTGGAATCACATTATTGGCTTCTGTTCAGAATCTCTGACACGTCTAGAAATAAAGACAAGATCACTACTACACAAAATATAGTCTTATTTTGTATGGAATTTGGCTTTAGTCCAATCATGCATTGTGAGTTCGGCCCCGACAAATTCCAATCAGGATGAACTGACACTACTAATGCGTCTGATCTTTCATCCTCTTTGTTGTCTGACGTGGACATTTACAGAACCAGACATGGGGCAGTACAAACAAGTTTGGAATAATTAATCCGGGTGATGATAAACAAGTTGTTAGGTAACCAGTTGAAAACCAGTAGATCTGGATAGTGGACTTTATCACCACATGCTGTCAAATATATTGCAATGCAAACCTTCTACAGACAAGTCAACATAAAGGAAATGAAAAGAGATGTGCATTACGATAAGCTAATTGTTTCCCTATACTTGTCGATAAATTATCAGCGACGCAATATGCTATATAATGAATCTAAACTTCCAGTAACTGATGTGGGAGCTGTTACAAATCTGCTCAGTTGGTCACTCATTTGAAACTGTAGACTAGAACATCTGGAGAATAGGCAACCAAATGGTAATCAAAATATTTCTCAAGACAGGATACAAGATGGGGCAGGACAGGACGGGACAAGACTCAAATGACTTACTTGTCCATGGTTCCAAACAGCCACTTGGGTTCCTTGTTGAAGGGCATTCTCATTACATGAAACTTGGCCATCTTCTCTGCAACTTCTGCTGATATGCTGGGGTCGCTTAACTCACAGGTGTCCAGTTTACGACTCTGTCAACACGATAATATGAATGTAATCTTATTTAAAAGTGCATGAGGATTGTTGTGGTGCATTATGCAAGATTAAATCATTAAAACATTTTAGAGGCAATATTAGAACTGGTAGCAACTCCCATCGGCCTGGATGATGAATATAATTAGGCAACGTTCAGTTTACGGATGTTCTTGCATGATGTAGCAGAATTAAATTTTAAAGTCTTACAAACCTGTACTGTAAACTGGACAATGTTCTTGACATACATGGACATTGTGCGTTTTTTCACGACATTTCTTTAAGTTAAATGGTATAAACCAAGGTCAAAATGTTATTCTTTCATTAGATGAATTAATTATGTAACATGGTAATGTATAGGAGATGTTATCGGGTTTATTTATTCTCCCTGAACATCGATTACTGTTGCATCATTGAGCAATAAACAACACACATGCAAAACATGTTGTTTCATTCATTCCCATACTTCTTCACATGCCTAACCATATCTAAACTCTCTATCTCAAATCCTAACCCTATACATATTCGCAACCTGTTTTTATACTGAAGATCATTTATAAATGGGCAATATAACTACGGCCAGGTCATCTAAATAAAAAAAAAGATGAACACCAAGGGGTATGGGTAGGGATTTTGTAATGCCTTTCAATACCCATTTTTTTTAAATAAAAAAAATAAGCCATGTCAAGAATATTATGAAAGTGAAACACTAAATACTTTTTAGTTCGGCCCTACACATACAACACCATATAAATAAACAAAATTATGCCTAATTGCCTCAACAAAATGTAATAATTGAATCTATTCCAGAACAAAGGGGTGTTTGTCCACCCCTGTTCAAAAGGTTCCCACAGTATATAGAGATGAAGATATGTGTACATGAACAACAACGTGGCGACTTACAGGGACATACTGCTCCAGCCGGCCCTGAGGGAAAATGCCATATAGTTTAGGTCCAAGCTCCCTCTCTGCCAAGATAGCAAACATCACACTCTCCAACACCATGGCCTCCGCCCCCTGAAAACACACAATAAGACACTTATCAGCAACGTTAAAGTTGTGAGAGACAACATCAGTGTGGTGGAATGGAAATTAGACAAAGAGCTTTGTTCACCATGTCCTTAAACAAAGAGTAAGGGATTACGTCACTAATGAAGTACGTGTCTTGTCAACAACTGACTGTCACAGTGCTTGGTTCGTGAAAAGGTAATGTGTACATTTGGACAATTAAGCTTTGTGCATGACCCTTCACATGGTTAGTCTGCATTCAGAATTGAATGGAAATAAGGTGGTGGGGAGAAAGATGAGTTAGTTGTGTCTGCCAGAATCTTCCTTAAAGCTTCAAGGAGGCCCACTTAGGCATTTAAAAAAAAGCTGAAGTAGAGAGTACAGCCTTGTGATTCTCCCTTTATCTTAGAGACGCACAAAAGTCACACACCAACACACATAGCCTGGAGCCCAACGGGGGCTCAAGGTTAAATGGGAAACCTTCTCTCATACCAACACAAACACATGCCCTGGAGCCTGGAGGACTAAAGCTGTGTGCTGGCTTCTCATCGACCCCATTCTTATCCACTCCATTGTGTAGGGAAGACAGAAAACCAGGCTTCTCACCAACTAGGCAAGAGGCCATTAGCAGAGGACAGATTTAAACTGTGGGAAAACTGAAACTCCCAAAGGTAAAGTTGTATTTCATATGGCTTTTCTGGGGGCAATGAAGAGAGAAATAGGTTCATTGATCAAGTTGAGAGAAGTTAAGAGTACATTGGAGGAGTGTTATACCAAAGTAAATGATCACTTTTTAGTTCTATTCACACGAAGAATACTAGCTAGAAAGCTATCAAGCATTTAGCTAGCAAAACATTCTGTCATTTGAATTTTAATTCATTGACCATATATTTTGACAAAAGGCCTGCTTAAATCCTTCTACAGATAAGTTTCATTTAGGCTAACTGTAAAAACTGCCTCCATATCAGCTCTTCCTCTATAAAAAAAAACATGTAAACAAATTATTGCTGATATAGCTAAGCCTGCTAAAGTATACAGTTAACATTTCTTGGGGGGTCAAACTATGCTAATCAAGTTGCTTTCAGGTTATGCGAAGGGGCTTTAGTATGCATGGCCCCATCATACAGTTTTTCTTCAGGGTTTAGGTTTTCTGGCTGATGCTGCAATCTACTGCATTTAAATGTGAGCATTACTGGCTGCAATAGATGCTAGAATAGCATATTGCTATCTCAACCCTTTTAAGTGAATAACCTTAAGACACATTACTGCAGAGAGAGATTTGGAGCTGATCACTGGGGTCTTTACCAGGGAATTTGCTTCATACTGATTGTCCAGCAGGAAGCCAGTTCAAAGGAAACAATACCGCCTGCCTCCAAGATTACCGTACTTATTATTTCTACAACAAGACTGTACTGCACCCCATACAGAGACGCTAAATACTGACATCTTACTCTGGATCTCTGTTGTGATGAAGTTAGAAATACACCTCTCTCTGAATAAAAGGTCAAAATTAAATGAGGAGTTCTCTTATTTATTTCGTTTTCCAAGTAGCAGCTATCAGTGCTAACAGCAGTAACTGCTGTATGAGCGCACTGCAGAGCAGCGGTTAATAGCATAGATTACATCTTGTAGTTAGCATAATTTGAAACTTTAATCACACCGCATTATGAGAGAATGTGTGTCAACGCAAGGTTCATCATTAGCCTCTGTGCTAACTGAAGCCTAGGGTACGGGGAAAGGATGCTTCTTTCTTCGTTTCTCTTCTTTGTTCATCAAAAAAAGAAGAAGCTCAAATCCCAATACTCAAGAAGTTGCTGGAAGCAGAAGCATATAACAATTACTTGTTCTCTGCAACTGCACGTTCATATTCCATAAATCAATTTGAGGTGATTAAGACGAACAAACTGGAATTCTCTAACATGGTACGTCCAAGGTTATTAATAGCATAAGTTTTATTCAGTATAGATCCCAGCGTGATTGAATATTCATCTTGACAGACAGGCTGCCAGACAACAAGCCATCTGCCAGTCTGTGTAAAATAGAGCGTAGACTTATCAGGTGTATCATTTCTCTGACAATATGAATCAGTGAGGATGTTTTCAGTTAGTGTGGTTGTAGCGACCCAGATCTGCAGCATCTAGCTTATGGACAAAGCTCCCGTATTTACAGAGGTTTAGTTGGCCTTTACAAGTCAGTGTGCGTATTTTAAGTGTGCTCCTGTAAAGTGCAGTTCAAATTTAGCCTCAGGGATTAAGACAAATGGGCCACAACAAAAGCTATAGACGACACAATGCCTGGGAATTTTTAGTGATGATCAAAGCTACTGTGAGACTGCATTGATATTTAACAGGTTTAATATAATTATTTATAATTAATTAATTAAAGATTTAAATGACAACAACCTACCAATGTGATAATTATGCTAAAAAAAAAGATATTTTCCTCATGATCTCAAACAGCACACTTCAAAACAAGGAAAAAAGTACCGGACTCTCATGGGAAATAACTTTTGAAATTAGAGTGTAAAGTAGATATTGCACTTTATCGTCATTTGGAGCCAGAGTCGGCACAGCATTGATCAGGGGGCGGAGCCACTGTATTGACATCCCGCCCACAAGCTCTGAGCGTCAGCAGAGCAAGGCAAAAGCTTGTTAGCATGAGATAACCACATCAGTCAATCATCAGAAATGATACACTAGAAACACTCGAACATTCTTTATCGTGATGAGACAGAAACAATCTATTGGAAAAATGGATTTGACATTGACCTAGTTCTTTTTGTTTTGTCTATGTTCCGTGGACTTGTAATATTAATATTATGTCGTCCATCTTCATTCACAGTCTATCTATGGTATGACCCCATAGTAAGAAGCTGATTGAGAAGTTCTTCATTCAAATGTCTGAATGCACAAGGCCATTCACCCTTGTTGTTTGGAGGCTGTAACACCCATTGACTGGCCTCGAGCAACCTCTGTTTCATTTCCTCTGACCTATTTTAAATGTCACCGTTTGTTTTTGCTGTGTTTGATTTGAATGGACTTTCCCAGACAGGTCTTCCATCGGTTAAAAGTTAATTATCAACATTAGATTTCAAGCCAAGATCCATGTACTGACAAGAATTTCGACATCCCTAAAAAGCACCTCGGTCACACTATTTCCTGTTTTCTGACAGGAAACAGAAACTTCCTCTACTAAAGCTAAATGCACTTTTTGAATGAATACCTGGAGAGGTGCCAGATGGCTCCATGGCACTGCTTACGTAGGTATATTTGATAACTTCATTTTAATAGGAGTTACTGATCTTACTGTGGGTTTTGTATGTCCTCTCTGGAAATGTGATTACATTTGAATCTGAATTGTTAGACTGGTCCCATATCAGTGTCTCTGAGATAGTTAGCATCTGGCCTTGGAGTGATACAGCAGGTGCATTGTGCTGCCCACAGCTGCTGCCTTAACCTCAATACTTATTTGCTCTATGCTTTAAGTCAATAAACATGTGAAGATAGATGACTAAATACAGACTGAACTGAGATGAACCCAGGTGACACTGATATTTAAATGTGTAAAATATCTGTATATCTTTGGGTTGATGAGACGGTTCTGCATTAGCCCTGTGCTAACTGAAGGCTGGATTAGAAGGGAGGCAGGCTTCCGATTCAGCGGTGTTAACAGTATAACAGGCTGATGACCTCATCTCATCACATGACGGGGAGCTTTGATTCAGCCGCAGTCGAAGGGTCAAGGGTCCCCATGAGTGACACAGTGAAGACATTTCTAGGTCACTGGGAATGAGGCTTGTCAGTTCTTCCGGCTGCCAGCAGTGAAACATTTGGGTGTTTATTTATTAGCTTTGTGTATTTGTATGTCCTAAATTGATATCTTAGAAAATTCTAATTTAAACATTTGAGATGAATTGCTTTAAAAAATAGTATTGTCTTTATTTAAGTAAAATACTGGAGGAGTTTTTTTATGGATATCTATTAGTTACCTTTTACCCTTGTCACCTGTTGTGGGTCTTGTAGGGATAATGTGTGGAATTTTTCAAAAAACAGCAATAAAGGCTGTTATCTCAAAACGATCTTTTTACTAATACCTTGAACTGGAATTCTCCTTTAAGTACATCCGAAAAAACGTTCCAGTTTAATTCCTATCTATATTCTGAAGGTTATTACGTAGGCTTTGCTTATTATCCTTTACAGTCTGATTGTGTCTCAGTTTAAAAGTCCCATGTCATGCTTTTCCGGTTCTTACCCGTCCCCTTGTGTGTTATGAAGCTTTTTCTGCATGTAAACGGTCTGCAGAGTCAGAAACCCTCAAAGTACACCCTGTAGCGAGTAAAACTCTAACACAGAAAATACCTGTCTATGCTGCCCCAGAACGCCTCGTTGGAGTTTTCTCATTTTCCATAGTTTTCTTCCTGGGTTCTGTGATGTGTGAATACCCAAATCAACAACAAATGACTGGATTGGCCCAAATGGACCAATCCGTGGAGCACCTCACACACCAGGATCCCTTGGCTAACTAACAGGGAGTCCGCATTGACTTGCATAGAGCTCCCTGAACGCTGGTAATAGACGAGTTGGGATAGCGGAGAAATGCTCTCCGCAGACCCATTCTCACAGCGTTATAAACCTTTTTCTTACTCAATATCAAGCCACACTTATTGTTTTTACTTCGGCTGTGAGTGTGCTCAGGAAGAGTTTCGCTTGTTCTCGCTGTATCGCCGACCCGGAAACCTGTCTGCTCCTCACAGCAGCGGCGAGCAGCAACGAGCCTCACAACGCCCCGACCAATCAGAGCACACTGGGCTCACAGGGGCAGGAGCTCCAACAAGCCGTGTAGGACAGAGAGTGAATACCTGGTGAATACACATACTATACAGAGATGCTGTATGAGAAACCAATGTGATTTTGGAAAATTGCACAATTTAAATCTATTCTAGTAGACCTCAACAATGGAATTATGATCAGTAGAAATGGCCATGACATGGGACCTTTAAGAGACGGATC